CAATTAATGAGCTTAAGGATTGTTCTTGGCTCCGTTGGATATTTTTTCTCATAATGGCTGCTCAAAAGCTTAAGTCAAAGTTTTTTGATTAGTACGTTGGTATGTAAAGGCATTTGTCAAAGGAATTATGAATGTAGTTGGTGCTTGAACGTTGTGATGATTATTGAACTCAAAATAGTATTGGACTGTTATGGTAATTATTGCTGCTTGATTCCTTTTTTCTTTCCTCCAATGTCCTGATCGAACAACCAACCTGAATGATAGAAAGTTGACTCTCATATAATCTGCTGCAATTATTTCACCAATGTTTGCCCTGTAGTGAATGTTTATGCTGCTTATAATCCATCCCACTTTTAAAACTAGATCAGGGAACGAATATTTATGAAATAACCTGAGAAATTAGATAATTCTTAATTGACATAAAAAATTCAACTCGTTTAATTGAGATTCCTTAAGAAAATTGCAAACTAACATCCCTGAATTGTCATTCAAGTTTTATGCTCTTGTTGAAATCAAAGTTCAATGACATCTCACTTAAACTCCAAATTAAACTTAAGCTACAATTAATCCTGGAATTTTAACAAACAGAGAAAATCAATCAATTTCCTCCTTTAATTTTCCTCTCAAACTTCCAATCAATCGAATAAAGGCTTATGACCTCTCAATATTTCAAGAAAAGTAGCAAAGTAAACATATTCCAAATCTGAAAAATATAAACTTGCACAAATTAAATCTTAACAGAGAGGAATTGTTGAAACTATCAAATCTGAAATTTCAAAAGTCTACTAGTTCAAGTTATAAATCTATAGTCTCCATCATCAATCTTCAATTTATGCCCTAAAACATGCACAAGATAAGATAATAATCAATAGCCACGTGTAAAAATATTAAATTTTTCTTCAAAGTTGTCCATTAATGATTGTTTGGAAGTCTTGTTTTTGCTAAAGTTGTCCTTAAATTCGTTGGTTTGCTTATATTTGTATGTTGATGTTAAAACTTTGCTTAATTCATTTATATATATTTGTTTGCAATATATATTGATTGTCTTTTCTCAACTTTTACATAATATTTACATAGGATTCCTCTAGAATGGAAGTCCCTGAAAGTCGAAGATGGATGTACAATAGAATAGATCCTAGTACTAAATGGGTTACAGTAGATTTTGAGCGAGGTGTCGAGGAGTTTCTCGCTTATGCATTTCAATCACCTTATACTCAACAATCAGGAAAGCTTAGGTGTCCGTGTGTGAAATGTAGATGTAGGCCATATCTAATTCTTGATGAGGTGAAGACACACATTTATAAATATGGATACATGCCAAAATATTATATATGGACAAATCATGGTGAGAGAAACATAGAATATCATTCACCCATGTCTTCAACAGAAGGTACCTTACATGCCTCACATGGAGTACTTGGTAACCAACCAAGTCAATATGAGACATTGGTGATGGATGCAGCTGGGCCAAGTTTTAGAGATGACTATAATGAAGGTGTTGAAGAGATGCCAAATCCTAATGCACAAGCATTTTATGACATGCTATGTGCTGCCCAACAACCTTTGTGGGAAGGATGTGAAGAGGAATCTCAACTTTCAGCAGCTTTGCAGTTATTATGTATTAAGGCAGCAACTAATATGTCACAACAAGGGTACAACTTAATTTCACAACTCATGAAGAGGACACAGCCTAAAGACAATCATATGCTTACAGATTTATACCAAACAAAGAAGTTGGTATCCAAGCTAGGTCTTTCCTATAAGAAGATTGATTGTTGTGTGAATGGGTATATGTTATATTATAAACATAATGATAGTGCAACTCAATGTAAGTTTTGTTGTGAGGAAAGATATTCTTCTAAAAAGTTTCATGGAAGAAAAAAGAAAGTTGCAAGGAAGCAATTATGGTTCTTACCTCTCATTCCAAGATTACAAAGATTATTTGCTTCTCAAAAAAGGGCAAAGGAAATGAGATGGCACTATGAGCATAATCAAGGTTCCAATGTCCTTTCTCATCCCTCTGATAGCCAGGCATGGAAGGTTTTAGATATTGCATACCCAGACTTTGCGTATGATCCAAGAAACGTGAGGCTTGGGTTATGTGCTGATGGGTTTACGCCATTTGGGCAATCTGGGAGACAATATTCTTGTTGGCCTGTGATTATTACTCCATATAATCTACCACCTGAACTGTGCATGACACGAGAATATATGTTCTTAACATTGATCGTCCCTGGTCCTAATAATCCCAAAGGAAAACTAGATGTGTATTTACAGCCATTGGTAGATGAATTAAAATTATTATGGGATGAGGGGGTATCAACGTATGATGCCTCATTGAAACAAAACTTTTGTATGCGTGCTGCACTATTGTGGACAATCAATGACTTTCCTGCTTATAGTATGTTGTCTGGTTGGACAACAATGGGGAAATTATCATGTCCTATATGTATGGAGAATTCAAAAGCATTCCAACTGAAGCATGGGAGAAAAACATCTTTCTTTGATTGTCACCGTCAATTCCTTCCTGGTGATCACCAATTTAGGAGAAATAAAATCTCATTTTACAAAAACAGAGTTGAGAAATCAATGCCTCCACGTCGGTTAAGTGGAGAGGAAGTTTGGGAAAGAGTACGAAATTTGCCAAAAGTCATTGATTATGGAAAAACTATACCAATTGAAGGCTACAACGAGGCACATCATTGGACAAAACAAAGTATATTTTGGGAATTGCCGTACTGGAAAAGTAATCTCATTCGGCATAATCTTGATGTCATGCACATTGAGAAAAATGTTTTTGACAATTTGTTTCATACTGTCATGGACACAAAAGGGAAAACAAAAGATAATACACAAGCTCGAATGGACTTGAGAGCATATTGTCGACGGATTGATGATGAACTTGTTGAAAGAAGAGGGAAAATGGTGAAACCAAGTGCAAAATATTCTTTGAATTTAGAACAAAAACGAGCAATTTGTCAGTGGGTAAAGAAGTTGAAGCTCCCAGATGGATATGCATCTAATCTAGCCCGATGTGTTGACATGAAAGAAGCAAAGTTGTACGGAATGAAGAGCCATGATTGTCATGTTTTTATGGAACGCCTGCTTCCCATTGCTTTTGCTACTTTACCTGAGGTTGTCTTGAATCCTATAGTGGAGCTTAGTCAATTCTTTAAACAACTTTGTTCCACCACGGTGATGGTAGATCAACTAGATTTGCTAGAAAAAAATATTGTAATCACATTGTGCAAGTTAGAAAAGGTTTTTCCCCCAGGGTTTTTTGACTCAATGGAGCATTTGCCTGTTCACCTTTCTTATGAAGCTAAGGTTGGAGGACCTGTCCATTATCGATGGATGTATCCATTTGAAAGGTAATGAAACCTATTCATGTGAATTGAAAGTAAATATATGATTAGTGCAATAATTAATCTTAAGTTTCATTTCTCTCTGTGTAGGTTTCTCTATACATTGAAACAAAAGGTGAAAACATAGCTCGGGTTGAAGCATCTATATGTGAAGCTTATATAATTGAGGAGACTGCAATATTTTGCTCACATTACTTTGAGCCAGGTGTTCCCCCAAGAATAGCAAGACCTATAAGAAATGATGATGGTGGAGAATCAGATTTGCCAACAATTTCCATATTTAACTATCCTGGAAGACCGTTTGGGGAATGTAAAAGCCGTTGGTTGGATGATGAAGAAGCAAATGTTGCGACAAGATATGTTCTAATGAATTGTGATGAGGTGCAACCTTATTTAAAGTAAGTGTTACTACAATATGATTGATTAGAGCTCACACCAAATATACCTATGATTAATGTATTATTTTCTATGCAGTCTCTTTGTACAAATATTAAAGGAAGAGAAGCCCCAAGCTACAGACAATGAGATAGAAACTCAAATCAATGAACAATTTCCATTTTGGTTTAAAGACCATGTAAGTAACAATTTTTTTACATAATACCTAAAATAAACCTTTTGACAAATACTAATTGATGATGTCATGCAGGTTCAAAATCTTGCCAATAACATTATGGATCCATTTTTACATGACATTTCTTGGGGCCCAAAGAGGAAAGTAAAGACATGGTCTATGTACTTTGTCAATGGGTATAAGTTTCATACTAGTTCATGGGCTCTTCGAAAATCAACCAATAATAGTGGTGTATGTATTAAGGGAGCTGACTATGTACAATCAGAACATGACTTTTATGGCATTCTACAAGAAATTGTGGAGATTGAATATATGGGTCTTCCTACGAAGAGATTAGTGTTGTTTAAATGTGAGTGGTTTGATCCAACACCTAATCGTGGTATGAGGGTTCATGAACAATATGGGATTGTTGAAGTTCACGAACGACGGAGGTACAACAAGTATGATCCATTCATTTTTGCTCAACAAGCAATGCAAGTGTACTACACATATTATCCTTGTTGTCCAAAAAAGTCAAATTGGTTAGCTGTTATTAACATTAAGGCTCGTAGTATAATTGACACTCCTGCATCTGAAATAAACATGGGGGTATTTCAATCAGATAGATTAGAAGTCATATTGCCAGTAATTGTTAATGATGATGAATTGAACAATGAAAGAGAGTTTGAAATTCATTATGAAGAAGTAGATATGCCAATGGATAATATGATTTATGAAGATCAGGAAGGTGGAGATGAAGAAGATGATGATGCAGTTGAAGAACATGAAGCAGAACTTGAAGATGATGAAGATACAGAAAATAGTGAGGAAGATTCTTATATAGATGAGGATGACGATGACGATGAGGATGAGGATGAGGATGCGTAAACCACGGTTATGATATTTCATTTTTATTTAGTATTGAGTTTGATTCATTCATTGCTTGCATTTGGCTTTTATAGATTTAGTTTTATTTACATTCAATTTTGTGATGATTTGTCCATTGGTTGTAGTTTTTATTTACTTTGTAATGATTTAGTTTTTATTCATTTATTAACTGTTAATTTATTTTGTTGAGTGTACAGATGGCTAGTCGTCGCCCAAAGCATGGTAGAGAGCAATTGAGTAGTCCATTATCTGCACAATTGCCTCAAGACTATCAAAATCTTTCTCTTCCTCATATGGCAGCAACATCTCCTATTATGGCAGAAACATCCACTAGACTTCCAGATGTCCCTTTACCACCTAGACCCTCATTATCGCCTACATCTCCTCAAATGCCATCACCTGGAATAGAATACTCTCAACCTCATAATCCACAGGATGCTCCTAGTAGGTTGACACCATGGGGTCGTGATGCCTCGGATGGTAAGACATGGATATATCCTGAAAAAAAAACGTAAGTCTTGAAATTTACATTATTTGATATCTTCATTTAATGGCTTAAAGTTATTTTTCATTTATAATAATTTTTTTAAAATGATTATTAGGTTTAATCCTTCTGTTGCTACTGTGCGAAATATTCTTCCTGTAATTCAAGCGAAATTTGACCATCCATGTTATTGTTGGAAAGCGACACCTCTTTCATATAAGCAATTGTGGTTTGCTGAATGGGCGGTATATCTTATCTCTATTGTGTCTTTATTTTTTTCTCATTATGATATGGTATGATTTCTTCTTTTTGCTTCTCCTTTATGTAGAAAAATTACAAGTGGCTGCCACAACATGAAGAAGATATTAAAAGAAACTGGAATGCAAAGTGTGCTGAAATCTTAAGAAATACAATGCATAATGTCAGGAATGACTTGTTTAAAAAAAATGCGAGGCCTGGTTGGATTCTAGAAAGTGTGATGGATGATTTAGAGAAGATATGGACATCAGAGGATTATAAGGCCAAGTCTGAGATAGCTAAAGCCAATCGAGCTTCTTCCACAGGAGGAACTCAACACAAAGCAAGCAGTATTCCTATTAGTGAGCATAAGAGGAGGATGGTAATGATTTATCTTCAAATGCAATCATTATTTATAATGCATTACATGATACATCATCATTATAATGAGAAACCCTTCAATTTTTTAACCAAACTGCAGGCTTTGGAGCTGGGAAGAAACCCTACAATGTTTGAATTGTTTAAGAAGACACATTACAATGAGAAAACTAAACAATTTGTGGATCAGAGGTCGGCTTCAGTTTATGTAAGTGACAATTTTCTAGTATGTTTTTCATATTGGATCACTATGATTATGCTGGCGACTGGAGGCTTAATTGATTGGAGTGTGAGTCTTCATTTAATATAATTTTCATATTTGATTACTAGAATTGTGCTGACGGCCGGAGGCCTGGCTAGTTGTAGTGTGAGTCTTTGTTTAATATGCTTGTCATATTGGGTTACTGAAATGGAATTGTGCTGACGGCCGGAGGCTTGACTAGTTGTAGTGTGAGTCTTTGTTTAATATGCTTGTCATATTGAGTTACTGAAATGGAATTGTGCTGATGGCCGGGGACCTAACTAGTTATAGTGTGAGTCTTTTTAAATATGTTTTTTTTTGTGACAAATCTTGTTGTGAAGTTGAAACACCAAAATAATTTGGATAATTAGGTGATTGAACATGACATTGTTGATTGATGTCTTTTTCATTAACTAATTTGATTGAAAATAAGTCATTACTGATTGAAAAGTTATCATTGAAAAATGTTCAAAATCTTAAAACTATTCTTATCACATTTCAAAAGAGTTGGTCATTTGTTACTTTTAATATCCAATTCTTGTTGAAGTTGTTGAAGTAACTGGAAGCAAAGTTATTTGAAAAATGAGCAAAGATCAAAATATATTGGGTCATTTGGATGGAAGAATGGTGTCATAATTCTGATTAATCAAAATATATTGGGGGATGATTTGAATGGTGTCATAATTCTGAAATTTAATTTTGAACCGTGGTTGAGTTAATTGTATACATGAGAATAAACATCTTAGTAATCTCATGTCACTAATGGTATGAAAACTTTCTTATAATTGGAAGCACTGCAAAAGATTGAAGCCTAGTAAGTGGGAGGTTGTAATTTCGATTGTGCTTATGATATACCAGAATACGATTTACATCAGAATGCCATATCTGGTCCTAAATATAATATTTAATTTACAGTTCAAACTATAAATTAAATCTTATATTTAGAATCTAGCAGTATTTTTCTTTTGACCATGAGGAATTCAAATGTCATAAAACTGTGATCTAAAGTCAGCCTACTATATAAGTGTATGTTCTTTTTTCCTTCTCGGAACTGCTGTAATATTTATAAGATTGCTTTTACATTTTTTAAAAAATTAAATTTATGGTTACAAAAGGAAAGATTAAAAAAAAAAAAAAACAAAAGGGGAGAGAAGCTCCCCTGTGATCATCAAAGGGTAATGCGCACAGGCCAGACGGGGATTGCTCCAAGATATACACGCCCAATGGAAGGCCCAAACTTCAAAATCCTCGCATTAATCCCCTTGACGTCTTGCAACAAAAGATATCAATACTTGTGCTTATTTTGATGTGTGCCCAGATGATCTGGGAGGCTTTGCGTACAGAGGGGGCCTGGGATTTAATCCCTCTTTCGTACCAAAAAAAGAAAGGGAAGAATGATTGCTGATTGGTTTTAGTGCTTTTCAGTTTTTTGGGGCCAACAATAAAGGTTATACAAACCAATTTTGAAGTTTATGTTCCTTCATATATAATGTTTTGATTTATTTTAATGTTTTGGGTGAATTATTTTTTCTCAGCATGAGTTGATAGATTTCCTTAAAATTGCGATAATTGGTTTTGCTATCTAATTATTCTATAATTATTTGGTTTATATACTTTTATGCATTATTCAAACTTTGTCAAATAACACTGCTTTATTATAGGATGATTATATGAGGCGGAAGGCATCCATGAATTTTGATGCAACTTCTCAAAGTGTGCAATCAAATGATCTTGAAGACATTAATATATGGTTTGAGGTTACTGGTGGTAAAAATAAGAAGGGCCGCTTCTATGGGTTAGGATCTGAGGGTAAAGACATTGGCTCTTCCTCTCATGTGTCTTCTTCTTCTATCAACAACACAGGACTCCATCCAGAATTTGAGTCCGAATTGCAAAATAGGGTGCAAGAGCTTAGGCAACAGAATCAAGAGATTATGCAACAGAATCGGGAGATTCGCCAAGAGAATCAAAATCTTAAAGATACAATCTTGTCCAGGCTCAAGGAACTTGAGAACAAAATATCCGGCCATCTGACCAAGATAGTGCAGGAAATGACTGTTGAGACATTAGTTGTGTCTATTTGTATTTATAGAACAGACTTCTGATATTTCTTTTTTATTCAGTTGTTATGTTTTTAAATTTTAGACAATTTATTGTACTTCATATTATCTTTAATTCATGTTGGTTTTTATAAAAAAATTTGATTTGATTAACATTTTAAAAATTTATTCCTATCCCTATAAATTATTTTTAGAAAAAGCTACCAAAAAAATTTTTTGACGAAAGAAAACGTTGGCAAAAAAAAAAAAATTCTGACGGATTTGCGACGGAATTTCCGTCTGAAGATTTGCGACGGAAATTCCGTCGCAAATCCGTGGTACATGTTCCATCGCAAATCTATAAAATTTTTGACGCAAAGTAGCGACGGAAATTCCGTCGCAAATCCGTCGCAAAGTTTGCGACGGAAATTCCGTCGAAAATCCGTCGTAGAGTTGGAATGCACTATCCCGATATTTGCGACGAAATATCATATTTTTGCGACGGAATTTTCCATCGCTAATCAGCGACGGAATTTTCCATCACAAATTCCGTGGCTAAATTTGCGACGGAATCTCATAATCCGTCGCAAATTAATTAGCGACAAAAGTTTTAGCGATGGAATTCCGTCGCTGATTTCCGTCACAAAACGTTTTAGCGACAGAATTAAATTCCATCGCTAATTGTCTGTTTTTTTGTAGTGATATATGATGATCTTTCCTAAATAACCAACACCTATTTGGTCTATCTATTTATAAACTAAGACATATTTATACGACTATCTTTTTTAGAAAACGATCACGCTAATTATTATCAATTTAAAAAATATAACTTTCCTCATTAAGTGTCTGTAATACTTAAATAACTGACACGTATTTTTCTTTTTAATTTTTTTATATTATATATATTATATAAAGGGCTCAAGCCCCTTCTAAAATAGGCCAACTAAAAAAGGAACTAAAAAGCTTCAAAAGAGAAAAGAAAAACTAAGTTCATATATATATATATATATATATTTATAGCTCCTCCTCCTCGAAGTCTTTGGCGAAGGATAGAGGGACGCGTCAGAAGTTAGGTCATAGTCAACGTTGTCTCATTGTAGGACGAGATTGAACTTCCAATAGTGGTCGTGGACATAGAGGGTGAGCCTATGCATCCCTTTGTTCAGGCATGTGACTCGCCTAAGCAGGTTTTCTAGTGGGTGAGGGAGAAAGGCCTCCTAGCAAAGGTGGAAGATATGGTGGGGGTAGAGGAGATATAGGAGATGGCGAAGGTGGTAGGGATGAAGGAAGGGGAAGGTGGAGGTGGAGCAGGGAGTAAAAAGGGAGGTTCTTAGTATAGGGGACACATGGCTTGAGGGTGCTGCCATCAAACCATGGCGCAGAGAGAGAGAGAGAGAGAGATTTTTGGTATAAAAAGGAGTCAGGGTAAGGGGTTTAAATAGTATGAAACATCCCTTCAATGGCCATCGGTTATATCATCATAATGATCCTTGGGAGTTAGAGATGAATAGCCACTCACTATAGCTGTATAATCATTATTTACGTAATTTCACAGTTTGAGGAAAGAGGGTGTAGAGGCAATACATCGTGGTTTTTCTGAAAAATCATCCTCTTTGTGTTTCCAAAATCATTTTATTGGTGACCAGAAAAGAAGACGGTTAGAGAAAACAACTGTGATCTATTAGAATTAAATACATGATGGTTACAAGAATAACCGCCACGTATTATTTAGCATGATCTTCCCCTTGTATATAGTAGTAGGGGGCCAAAGGGATTGGAGACAAAGGTTGGTCAAAGGTAGATAGTAGGATATGTGAAAGGGCTTTAGACGGTTATAGTACGAAGATAATGAAAGGTGAAGAGGTACAGATAGCAGGAGAAAGTGAGACAGGGAAATATGAGAGGATAGTGAAAGAATATGAGAAATAGGTGGTAGAGGTATGGAAGAAGGCTCAAAGGTGATAGTAGTGGAAACTAGAATTAAAGGAGAGTGATTAGGAAAGAAATCATTGCAAGAAAAAGATGGCTTAAGAAAAAAGGGTGGATTTGAAAAAGGGAAAGCCTGTCTCTAAGCCAGAGAAGCCAAATGTTGCTCGATAGAATCCAAACTACTCAAGATCTTCTTCTCCAAGCTATCAACCCTTGAGTTCAAACTAGCTTATAACATGTTCATCTCTTCCTTGAATATTACCATCAATACTCCCAAAATATTGATCTTGCTATCACACAAAGTAGCCATTCCCTGTCTCGTTTTGTATACCCTTGTCTCAAAGACTTGAAATTGATTTCTTAGAAGCTTCTGGATGGAGGTTCCCAAAATGATAGACTAGAGGATTGCTCTAGAGTTATAGACAAATGAGCTTCATCATTTCCACATGATGTGCCCACGACCGGGTACTTCTGTTTGTCTTTGGCTAGTCTTCCCTAGGCAAGGGTGAAAGGCAACCTGACATGCATAGCGCAACTTCAAATTTTGAGATTTTAACCTCTTTATCATCAGGTTGCAAGCGCTTCACATTCTGGAGGTTTAAGATATAGGATATTAATTGAGGGTAAGGCATACGGGTGTGCTTGGATTTGCTATCAAGTAAAGTCCTTATCTAATTATAAATCAATTCGCTAATGTTGATTATGTCTTTGTTGATGATTCTGGCTAGGAGTAGGTAGTCATCTTGATTTAGATAAGTGAAATTAAAAGACTTATTTACCATACTCAGTGGGTAAATATAGGGAATAATTTTACAATAGTTGCACATCTTTCTTAGTTTGAAATCTAAAACTCTAGGGTAGTGTGTGTCACGTCATGTTCATTTTAACCCTAAAAATAAGGAATATAAAATAAACCATGGGTCAATCAGGGTAGTTAATAGAGAGACAATACAACTTTTGAACTAAAACCAGAACGGGGACCAGATTGTTATTTTTAAAATATCCAGTCAATATTGAACAGAGTGGAAAAGTATACCCAAAACTCTAAAAAATTCTCAGAAAATTATGAACAATAGAAAAAAGTTCATAGAGTAGTATTTGAGACATGAAAGATAAAAATAATATGAAAATAATTTATTTTGAAATTTTTTGTATTTTCTTGGAATTATGGCTAATTATGAGAAAATTGGCAAAATTAAATTATTTAAAATATATAGGGGCCTCAATAATTTAGGAAAAAATTAAAAAAAATTATTTGAGAAGTTATTATGAATTTTAAAATTGTTTTCAATCTCTATAGATGCAATGGTTAGCTTTAAATTATTTTAAGTTGGAATTATATCTGTAAAAGGCTGATTTCAGGAAAAATTTAATTGAACGGGTTTTAGGCAAAATAAAATCTAAGGCAATTAAGAGAACCTGTACTCATCAAAAGCTATTGGGGCAAGGAAATAAATTTTTGGAGATAGTGAATTTAACAGCATCCGAGAAAAATTTTAATGATATCATGAAATTATACAATGTAATAACTATAAGCTTGGTGAGCCTAAATTTTCTCCCATTTTTCTGACCTAAATAGTGCCATTTGAGGAGGGAGAAGACCAAAGTGGAATAATACAATTTGTTGATGGATATAATTGGAATATTAGAATTATGAATAAAATATGAAGATTTTTATGTCACATCTAATAATTTGATAAATAAGAGTAAGGATGTTTCCAAACACTTAAAGGCCAAGACAGTAGGAAGAAATGAGATGACACAATTCTTAAGGTTAAGTTAGTGTCAGGGAAAAAGTGCAATTTTCAAAAGTTACAAGCAAGTTTATGTAATTTTAGAAAATATGAAATTTTCCAAAAACTTAGCAGATAATTATAGAAATTAGGGAAAAATTCCCTAGATAGTGTACTAGTATCAAAACTCAAAAATACGATGAAAAATAATTATTATTGAATTTTCAGTAATTATGGAGGTTTGACTAATTAAGAAAAATTGGTCAAAAATTAATTATTGAAAATACTTTAGAGCCTCAGAAAATTGAGAAAAAATAAAGATAATATATCTTGGGTACTATATGATATTTTATAAGTGGTCTTGTGCCCAGTTTACCCCTAGTACAATTATAAAGGAATTTAACAACCAATTAAGCCAAATTGGGGTTTTTATTTGGAAAATTCCAAATAAACACTTTTGAGGATAACTAAATCCCAAGAAAATTTACAGGGTTTTCCTAGAGTTAATAAGAGATTATGAAATAGACAGAAGTCTTTTATGAGTTTAGAAACTCCAGAAATCTCTTCCTGAGTAAAGAAGTTAGCATGATAATTTAATTGGTTTTCTTATTTACCATTAATAGAAAAATTGTGATGGTAACAAAGGAGGGCATTTTGGGAAGGAAAAAATGATAAGAATGTATTATAGATCTAATAGAAAATAATTAAGATGCCCAGGATACTGTAATTATGGAATAAGAATTTATTTCAATGCAAAGTGTATTGATAAAGCATAAAAGTACACTCTTGTCTTTATTTGGCTAAAAATGTGCCACTTGTCAAGCTATGAATAAAGAGGATTTTGACTTTGAAAATTCAATTTAGTTTGGAATTAAATAAAACATGTTAATTATGGTAAGATGGCATAGGTTTTTGACACATAAGCTTTGTAATTAGATTAATCTTAGAGGGCAAGTAGTTAGAGCTTGGCTTATAAATAGCCAACTCCTCCCCACTCACACACATTTCATCCAACATAGGAGAACCTCTTGCAATTTGCTTTCTTGAAGATCAAGCAAGGAGAAACCATCTACTTTGGGACACAAGCTTGAACATAAGGTTAGTTTAAGGTTCTATCTTGTATTATGCTATGTTTTCTTGAGTTTGATCATTAAAAAATGTTGATTTCTCTAAGGGAAAGAGCTGGCTGAATTGAGTCATGAATGAGGGAGGAAGATTTTGATGTTAAACCTAGGTTAAAGTCATTGATTATAGCTTTGATTTAAGTGATATTGCATTAAAATTGAAAAAATTGTATGATATGGAAATTGAAGGTACTATTCAGCCAAATCTGGAAATGTACCCTAGGATGTGATTTTGTGAGTTTTAATTCTTTCATTGGGTTTAAAATGGAAAATGGTGTAG